CTTGTTCTTCAAATGTCAGGTCAGGAGTCACGCGATTGAGAGTGGCCGCAGCCAGTCGAGCGGCTGTTTGCCACAATTCTTAGTTTGACATAAGGGCTCCAGTAAAGGAATTCAGATGCTATCTTCGTTTTCGATTACTGTGATCAGTGTGATGTAGCTATTACCGCCAAAAACAATTTTGATTGTGATAACATTCCTGCTAGCAAAAAGCGTCGAAAAACCCACGTAGAAAACACGGATTACGCATCTGAATGGGGTGTAAATCCTTATCCAAGTAACTTTAACTTTACAAAATTTCGAGTCTTTTGCTCGACCGCACGAAATCAGCATGTAAAACGCATAACAAAGACTCCATCACTTGGATGTTTCACGTGTGAATTTACCCTGGGCTGGGGTCATCTCAAAGCTTATATTGCCAGACTTTTTGCCAACAACTAGCAAAGCTCAACGAGGGATGTACTTATGGAGTGATTGGTTGGTCTAATTTAGTAAATGAAAAACATCCCATGGGAGTGTGCCCACGTCGGAAAAACGCGACTTGGTGGGCGCTTTTCGTGCGAAAAGCTCCCCACTGTATTAGTAAGGATAGAATTCGGTATGTCGCATCCCAGAGGGTATATCTTCGGTTTTTGCACCATATTCTTGCTCACCAGTGATGGCCATTCATGCATTGACAAGGGCAATAAAAACGACAGGAGTAGAGGACTTCTGGACCATTTAACAGTCGCTATAGTAATCCCCGTAGTGAATCCTTTAGTCAGATTGCTCGGCCCATCTCATAGGAAATCTGGCATTCGAGAATGCTGCTCGAGGTTTCAAATTTCCCAATTGTAATTTTATATTTTGTGAATCTACGAAATATCTACTAACTTGGTACTTGAATGTTGGCTAATCAAATGAACTTCATGTAAGTATAGTTCCCATGGGTGTCATCGATCGTATATGCAGGTACTGACACAGTGATAAGAATGATAACAACCACATGTAAGCTTGCGGTTCAACACTTAATTGGTCAATCGCCATATCAAACTACCTAAAACGAGCCACAACGACAAGAGAACTGCACTTCAAACACGAGCCGCTGACCTACGCCATGGCAAAAAAACGACTTCATCTCGGAGTGAACTCCAAAACTCCACTCGAGCCAAATAAATTCGGCTAAATGGTTGTTCGGAATATTGGATCTTTAAAAACGTTCTCTAAACTGAGCCGAAGTTGATCCAAAAAAATACTTGTCGAAGTGGTGAATTCAGAAATTTCGGTAAACATTTCCACCTCATTCGAACTGCATTTGCGAAATGTACAAAATTTGTATTCTGGATTAGTATGCCTGCTTATCTCCGCACAACTCATGATAGTACGGAGGTAAATGAGGCATAAGCTGGTTTTTGGGGCCGCTCTTCACCCAGCTCCCCAGTCTATCCTAGCAATCGAACTTGACCGCTGTCATGGACATCGATCTGCCAAGTCTCTCGGATATTGTCACCGATTAGAAGTTTGAAGCACGTGAAGAAAACCATGTCGCCTCTGAAATTTGCAGGGCGTGCTTCGCAGCAATGCTGAAGCCACCATGCAATTTGGAACATAAGTCTATTCTCAACAGATTAGAATCCTTGAAAGGTATCAGACCAATGTTACCACTTGCCGATGCATTAGGCTGATGAATCCGCTTCCGAAGACTTTGTTAGTGGCTCTACGCAGTCGTTTTGCTGCAGTAGACTATGGCCGCACGTGCCTCAGCTCCTCTGCATATGGACCATATCACCAGGGTTTTTCTGTGTTTTAACAAGCGCTATGAATTCGTGACGCAATGAGTTGTCAGGCTTTACCTCATGTTCACCCGGAATGCCACTCGCCTGATGCGAGTTTACGATTGAGGCATGCTAAAATGCAAGAAAACTAGAGATGTTTGATCGCTTATTGCTGCAGTGGATCACTTAAGTTAATTGGGGTAAAATAGTAGCAAACAACTCCCTAAAATAACTACTGCGATATTAAGCGTTTGTTACTGCTTCCATAGCAATGCCGGCTGCAGTGATTTGACGATGTTCTGCGTTGTGCAAGTGCGAAACAGTACCTAGCTCCCTCGCCACCCTCAAACTGGCTTTACCTTTGTGTCGGGTGTTTGAGAGCGCGGTCTGTCACTATCAAATGGAAATTTGGAAATTCATACCTTTAAACGGCCTATGGCCTTCGCTGCCGAACCCAGAACTGGGACTCAATCTGCATCGACTTCCCCCATTCGTCGCCAGAAGCTGTTCACGACATCCACACACCCACAAAGCTCACTCCCCTCAGTGAGATTTAGGCACGTAAAAGTAGAACTAACTCAATTGGAATGGCAGAAATGCAGTGGGAATAGCTATGAACGAGAGATCATCCACATCGTTTGCTGCTCTGTTGCGAATATCTGTTCCGTCTTCGATGCAACCTGTTCGTGGCATAATTTTCTCATCTGTTTGATGAACAGCAGACTGGGGGACTCCGTAGTCTCACTGTTAAGCGATGAAAAACGGCAACGTATGCCCTGGGTCTGGCAATGGTGAACCACATAAGGTACCTCTGAGTTCGGCGTGGTATTGAACCCGACAACAGCGAAGATGTCTGTCACCTTAACCATTAGTTTAAGGATTCTACTGCTTCGTTTCTGGAAACGACATTTAATCCCTCCCTGAGACCTCGATGTTAAATTAAATAATTCTCTAGCTGAATGGACCTTTTATTAGGCCGGGCGATAATAAAGACGGCATTTTTAGAGTACCAGTGACTCAATCATTACGTGGAGCATTACTCATGCATCGATTACAATGGAAGAAATGAAACATTCCAGATCAAACCCTCCCCAGAGCCAAAGGATGGATTCAACAGTGCTACTGAAGAAAACAGGACCTACCCAAGATTATCAGAAATACTGATAAAAACAGCTGCTTAACCTCCTAATAAAAATGTCATTTGACGACTTGAGCAGCACCTTTTGCATCATAGTTATGCAGGTGAATAGATGATTGAAAGAGTAGGTGGGAGGAGGTAGTTGTCTTCAAGACACTCGATAAGTATCCATTTCAAGTAGTCACAACGTAACACTAGTCGAAAAACGCAGAATCACGTCAGTTCTGGTTGCGCTGTTTGGATCTTGAAGATGCACTCTCTTTGGTTTCCTTGCTCAAGGTGGCAGTGGTCGGGTGGTTCGATTGTCGAAATAACCACTTGGGGCTCCTGAATTCGAACCCCCCACCACCACCGCCGCCCATCTTCCCAGTATCTGTATTTTCCCAGACCGTCTTTGTATGGCCGCGGCGCCCTTCCTTAAAGTTAATTGTACATTTATATAATCGACAAACGAAAAAGAAAGTAAAAGAAGTCGAAAATGCTTGATATACACAAATACCTACAAGTGAAGTTTACCAAGGGTCAGGACAATGACAACGAGCAGTGGCAGATTGTGTCATCAGACCTTTCCGAAAAATAGGATTGGCTGGAGTCATTAGAAACTTGGATGGTTTGCTTTTGGATTCAAGTACACATGGTGGAGCGTTTTGTAATTACTTCCAACTTCGCAACATCAGAACACAAACAAGCCTTTCCCGAGATCAATTCCAAAACAAAGGACCATATCGCAGTACTGCACGATTTATGTCCAGGAGGATTTCGCTGCAGAAAACACAATGCGCATACAGGGCTTTGGCATGACAGCAGAAAAGTAGGATACATTAAACAAACAAACAAACAATAAGGGGGAGAAGTAAGGACAGACGAACATAAAGTTCTTTTTGTAGTTACAAGAGGGGATTCCATCGGTTGATAGCAATTGCAAACCTTGAAAATCTTGCGATTTGTGACTCGTGGGTAATCCGAAACGCTGTGCTTCGGTCGAGATGGTGCTGCGTCATCAGAAGATGTCAAGCTATGGTGGATGACGGAGTCTTGTAGTTTCGACTGTTGTTTTGTATGCCAAGGACCTGACCTGGATTGCATTAAAAACTGTTGATACGACAGACGACGAAAATAACGCTCTCCCATCGAACTTCTGTTTTTTTATATAGATAGGGCAAACCCTATAGTCATGAGGACCTACTGTTCAGTCATGGAAACCGGTAACCTAAGCTCCGGGACTTGAAGTAGCGAACCACATTAGGCTCCGTTATGTTAGGCGTAGTATTGAAGATAATATCTAGTTTGCTATACAACTTATCTCTCACCCGGTAGCATACGTCGACTATCTTTTCGATTAAATACACCCAGGGCTCAGAACATAATCCGATCAAGGCAATTTTCATGCCTAGGGGAGTAAAATTTGTTGGTTTATAAATTTATGCGGTGGAGAGCGTTGCATTAAATTCTGTTCCGTGCGGTGGAGAGCAATAGGCAAAACAAGAATGAAGCAGAGAAGTCCATAAATCAGGCTGAGCCAAATGTGAAGGAAATATGATAAAATGCCTGTAAATAGTGTTAATTCCATAAAGGAGTTTCGAGCGTATAACGTGTATACGCATTCCACATTGAGCTAGCATGTTCTTCGTATAGGAGCAATTCATGGAGTGCGCGGCAAGAGTGAACTCCCTCAAAACACCCGTTCCCTATCCACCTTACACATTCTCACTCACATTGTGTGCACTATGGGCTTTGCAACGATCAGTGCATTTCGCTTCATTTGTGTTTCGCCATACGATGGTGCTGATGGTAGCCGGTTATAAGCGAAGCCACCCACTCCCGACCAAACTGAAGCTCTTGCCGTTTCCTAAAATCCGAACAGAAAGTGGCTTAAAGCTTGAAGTTGCTGGAAATGACACCTTAAAACGATCTGTGTTAAAATCTGCTTGATAGATACATTTTTCTCCAGTTATGTTTTCATTTTTTAAGATGATTTTACAACGATATGCCAGGCATTCTAAATCGAGAGGGCAAATGCGTAAGATAAAAAGGGAAACATTATTTTGTGATGTGTAATTATGTGAACTCGCTTTGGTTGAGTCACAAGTGAAACCGAATTAATATGCTGGTGACCGTTAACCGTGCGCTTCAGGAGAGTTATGTTTTTTCATTACCTTAGTACTACGAGAGCCTATAAAAACCTAAATGCATTTTCTATGAGCAAAATGGTCTCTTGTCACCTTGAAATTGACGCCTATAGCTCATTTGTTTCAGTGATTCTCTCAATCCAGTTTTGACAACCATAAAACATGCATTTTCGTGCGCCCGTTTGACTCAATGAACAAAGGGAAGATTGGAATGGTCGGTAATTCTTTATTGCGTCATCAATCTCATCCTCCTGAATCGGATTCGGGGAAAACGTAGCAACATTTTGCATTCTCAACAATCACTTAAAGTGACCGGAGGAAGAAACTAGTTCTGTTGTTTGTTTTCCAGTCGTACTTATATTGCATTGATCAAATACGGTGACCAGTAGTAAGCTATACTTTGAGAGAAATGTTTTCGATCAGAAGGCTTTAAAAGTCACAAAAAATCTTTCTCAGCGCAGAGCAAGTCAAATATGTCAATAATTTCTTGCATCATACGTGAGGTTCTCAACACCCTGTTACAACTCGTCATTATGTTGCCATTGAATCACTTTCTAATATTCAATGAAATCGTCGAACGCAGTTGTATTAATGTCATAAAACCCCCCTCTGTACATTTCTGTCCTCTTTTACAATCCATAGGACAGTCAGTTATTTTACAAAGCCCTTGAACTCGTCGGTCGTGAATTCGTCGACACTGTGGAATACTTTTCCCACTGCTGGTGGCCAGCCCGCGAAATAGTTTCTCGAGCCATGAAAGGACGTCGATTGGTAGATGAGTCCAGGGCGATCATTGTTCTTGAGCAGTCTTGTCCTTGGATGGCTCATTTGTTTGATCTGGAGCGCGAGGAGCGCGCGGAAACGGTCACTTATCCACAACCACCGCATTTAGTGACTTATCGACCCGAGCCCAAATATCCACCCAAAATATTTTTTGTAGTCCTTCCCGGTGAAAACGGAAATTGGGTAGTTCAGAGCGTGCCTGAATCGAATTTTGTTTATAGGTATGTTTATTTGAATGTAAAATTTGTAGTCTAATAAGTTTTGATTTCACTCGTTATGTTTGCATTGTCTTTCTGAAAAATTTTTTTGATGCGCCTCATCAGTCTCATTCCTGTTTTGTCACCAGTGCCACCAATCACAGTCTGTCTCTAGTCCAGTTCCCGCTTCTAACGCGCAACAGTATTTTTTCAGGATGTGATTTTCACGATTCACAGTCGACCGCTTAATCCACCACCCAAATGGTCCTTGATCGCTGACCCTACTGTCTATAGTAGTGAGGCCTTATATAGTTCGCCTCACTAAGTCCCAGTGCTTAGTTGCTGGTTCCCATGAATGAACTGTTTATCCTCATGAATATGCGTTCATTGATTGATTGGTACTGATCATCCTTCGGACTTCACCTTCACACACATTCCTCAGCTCTTCCAGTCAACCATGCACTCGGTAACACTAGACTCAATTTTCGCCCTTATTAGAACTCATCAGTAGTGCTTATCCACCATCCCGTCCGGGATTGGAAATCCGGACCTTGCTGTCTGGTCACAGTGAATTGACGACACCTGAATAAACATGATTTGGTAATTCGGCTCAGCCCTGGCATAAACTGGTTGGCACAGTGGCAACACACGCGATGGGTCCGGAGTTCCCATCCCGGACGGGATGGTGGATAAGCACTACTGAAGTCCACCCTGTACAAACGTTACGTGGACGATATTTTCATTATTAGAGATGATGAACATTTTATTACAATTTTACATCGGTTTAACTCAGTTCATCCACATCTATCTGTGTCTCAAGAAACGGAAACCAACAACACTTGCTTTTCGTGACATAAAGGTTACAAGGCAGATAAATGGAACACTACAACGCTCAGTCTACCGAAAAGCATCATGGAACGGTCAATACCTACGCTTTCCCAGCTTTTTCCCCGTGACTTACAAACGTGGGCTTGTGAGAACCATTTCATTGGGCGAGAAACATTTGTTCTCCAGATACACTATAGGAAGAAGAAGACTTCCTAAGGAGAACATTGTTAAAAATTGATTACCAGAAAAGGTTTTATAGATATTCATAGTAGACCATTCCCAAAAGGTAACCCAACCAAAAATGTCAGTAAAAAAGCTATCTACATCAAGCTTTCGTTCAAAGGTGACCACATTGACAATGATGTGCGCCACAAGTGTAAGTCAGCTTTAGAATGTACAATCCCAGCTGCTCAACTCAGACTCATTGCCTCCACTCGTGGAATTGATTTGGACAAATGTAAACTTGGCTGGCAAACCATACACTGTATACCAGTTCACCTGCAGTTGCGGTGACTCATACATAGGCAGAACAAACCGTCAGCTCACAACGGATGGCCGAACATATTCCAAAGTGGCTGGTGAATTCCATGACGCAACCGACAGTTTTTGGCCAAGTGTTTACAAGAAATCTGATGGCAACAAAGCACACGGTTGACCCAAATTCGTCTTTCAAACCGCTATTACGTGATCTCAATGCTAAGCCTTTGGCAATTAATGAAGCACCGCTTATTTGATTACATAGCTCCGCCTTGTGCGCACAGAAGCTTTTGACACAATCAGTCCACTTGCCGTGGAGTTGACCTACTTCTAAATTTAGTAATCTTTGTATGCTTGTACACCACAATTGATTAATCCCATGTGCTATGTATGTACCTGTTTGTTTTAAGTCAGCGACTGAGGAGATTAAACGAAATGTTAACATCTCGCGACCTTTGTCTTCTTTCTGTATTGATGAAATGGATAAAGGGAACTCAATGTTTCGAAGTTCTAATAGGAACGAAAATGGAGTCTAGTGTTACCGAGTGCATGGTTGACCGGAAGAGGTATGTGCGTGAAGGTGAAGTCTGAAGGATGGTCAGTTCTAAATAATCAATATCATATATTCCACAAAACTACTCACAAGTATCTGTGAGTTAATTCCAGTATACGTTTACCCTTTCTACTGGTTATCACGCGATAGTGTGGCTACTAAAACAGCAACGGGTGACCATACAAGTTTGATTAACGTTCAATATTTGGAGCTTTTATTGTGGTTACTGAAGCAAGATCTGATAACCAAACGTCTCAATTAGACAGTAAACACAGAATACCTAGGTCAAGATCGTTGGGTATTGTACCACTTAGATGTTAAGAAGAATTCGCAAAATTTCACGGAAGAAATTGTGGCAATGGAGTGAACTACCGACAGAACAGGTTTTCATATAGTTGTTTCTGGATAACTCTTTCCGGACTTGTGTTTCAGAGCTGTTTACGTTATCAATGAAATCATCATAATTCCCCATATGCTTATAACTCTCGCCAGTCATTTATTATTGGTCTGAGGTGTCAACTGTTCCACGGAATGTGTTCAGTTTAGTACTTGATTGTGTAGCGATCAAAGATTTCAATTAGTATTATGTTGTAGTGAGTGATTCCTGATATTTTATTAATTTGTAGGGTGGTTCGTTTACTACAAAACCTGCTATTTTGTCTTGTACCTTTTTCACTTTTCAGATTGCCATTTCCTGATTCGTGGCACGCATTGCGAGACGATGAGCTGTGCGCGGTGACTGGATTAGATGGATGTATCTTTGTGCACACTAGTGGTCACCTCGGTGTGAACAAGACCCGACAGGGTGCGATTGAAATGGCTCAACTTGTTGTACACGACTGGAAAGCGAAGGAGTTAGCGTTGACCCAGGCCAAATTGCCAACCCCAACATACTCCCGTGGTCGAGGTCGACGCGCGGGCAGTGCAAAGGCATCTCGTTATTAAAGTGAATCGGAAGCTGGAAATTTGGAGAGAGAAAGAGATAGGGTCACATATCCCCGAGCTCCATTTGTCCAACTTTTCTGTTCTGTTCTGTTATTTTTTTTCTATTTTGAATTTTAATACCTTCAGGCTAAAGTTCTGCATGGAGAGAAAATGCAGTTCCGTCATCCACATTCTCCCTATTCTTCAACTTCAATTATGGCGTACCCAGAAAAAATATACGCCTGTCCAGAATTCGTTCATTACAATTTTCACATTCCACTGCCGCACTTATCATTACGGCCCAATTTTTTTTTGTTTGTCTTCTACATACACACACAACTGCGCGTGTTTAAGAAACCATTATTTCTCAGTATTTTGTACTATTATTTCATTCATTCAGTCGTCCGTTCAGATTTCTAATTTGATAGAAGATTGTTTGTTTCTTTCTGGTTGCAATTACGGTTTTGTTTGCAACCTTTTTGGATTTCATGCACACTGGTGCATTGCGTGGCACGCGAAAAGTCCCCTGCCCCCTCCCCCAACTTGTCCACACATTTATTCGCTTGCGCCGATTATCTTTCCACTTTGTTTATTTTTCTGATTACTAAAGTCGTCAGAAGAGACCAGTTTCTTGTTTCGGTGACTCACTTAACTAAAAAGTAATAATACCGGCCATAGGGATTATAAGTCAGCCATTTCTTATAAGCGTTCATCATCTTACAGCGAACTTCGCTGATCGCCGCCACGCTCGCTATGCATATAAAGCTAGTGAGAATTTGAAAAGAGGACAGAGATTGAACCAGTTTTGAGTGAGAGAGAGAGAAAGAAAATGAACCCCTGTGGTGAACACAGTACACATGTATATACTTCCAGGGAAATTTTGTCAAGTCGTTCGTGTACTACTTGCTAAGAAATATCTATCTTTTCCGACTAAGACGCAGTGCGGTAGACAACAGCTGGACATACGCAATACATGTCCTAACCGGTGAAGCCTGCTAATCTGAAATCGATACCCAAGAAAATTTATTTCAGATAAACTTTCAAACACGACGGCTTACCTCCAAATTACTAACTCGTTCGCTCCATCCCATGTGAGCCAAATTACTAACCGAAAATTTCTTGTCGAGGGATATCTTCTGCTCGCAAATTCAAGGTCTCAACCATAAAGCAGAATCGAAGGAACGGTAGCGCACTACACGCAACGTTTCTACCTCAGTGAAGCGTCTGGTCTATGCCGAAGGTGTTCCAGGCTTGTGTGTGCTGCTCCAGCTTTGGAACTCTCCTTTGCTGCTCTACCATCATTACTCACGCAGCGATCTGAGTAAGAAAAGCAGTCCATTTAAAGCAGATTCAGACTATGAAGCATTAGGGTCGGGATAGACGGTACCAAGTCTTGCAAGATGACTGCACTTTGAAGGTGCAAAGCACATGTCTAATGTGGCAACAGCAGTTGATCGTCGCCCGTACTTTCGACCAAACAGACGATATCATCGGCGTATTCTAAATCTCAGCTTTTCTCCAGCTGCCCATTCAATACCTACGTTTTGGAGACTACTTAATGCGTTCTCCAGAATTTCTTCTTAGCCAATAGGGAAATAGGCGTTGGTCGGCTTGCTGTACTTGTGAATGAATGTGATGGGATAACCATTGTCTTGCAAAGCATAGGCCAATCGGTCTAGTTAATCTGACAGGATTTGCGAACTGCATAGTCGGCGAACCCTGTGAAACAGAGAGCATACCAGACCACGCTTGTATCCCAAACGGCAGAAACTCCTGAAATGTAAATACTGTCCCGTCCATGTAGGCTTTCGATACATAGATATATGTGGGTTCCCGTCTGACATTCGATTGAGCAGTAAGTCAAGAAATGGAAGTTTGGATTCCGATTNCTAAATTCAGTTTGATGTTGGGATGCAATGAGTTCAACTTGTGAAATAATCTCCTGATATCTGTTTCGTTGCGCGCAATAACCAATGTATCATCAACATACCATCGATATAGTTGGGTGGAATTCCGTTCACCTTCCGGTTTGTTTTCTAGTGTTGACAGGAAGATGTCAGCAAGAATTGGCCCGAAAGGGCTACCTATAGCTACACATCAACCTCTTTGTAGATATTTCCGTTGAATAAAAAACCGTACGTGGCGGACGTATAAATCCATTAGTTTTTGTGATGATTGTTCAGGAACTATGAACTTCTTTGTTTTATTGAACACGATATCCTTGTACATTCCGACTTTCCGCTTATTACAGTTCTATTCCGTTGTTGAACTCTGTGTGCTGATTTCATTTTGAGTCCTAGTTCTAGGTTGGACCATTGCTGCGCAGATTCCGATACGTATACTAATTACTAGTCCAAGTGCTAATTATAACTGTTTTCAAATCACTGGCGGGGAAATCTATTTCACCGGCATGTTTATATACTTCGTTCACAGCTTCCCTGAGTTACCACTTGAGAAACAGTTCCAGTACAACACGAATTTTCTCTGATAGGTCATGGGCAGAGTGCGTGCAACACTGAAACAATCCAGAGGGTGCACGGGAGGTAGAGAACAAAAGGGTTTTTCTCATTCATGGGGTCCCACAAGCAAATGACCCCTATGATTGCGGATGCCACAACAACGACAATAAGGAGTGGTGTTTCATTAAGGACCTAACAAACTGCCAAGATGTTTTTACCACATCAGTCAGTCGTCTTACTTTTTCACCAAACTACCATGGTAATGGCCCGAAGATAATGACAGTCACTCTCAGCACACCGGAAATGGCGACCGCAGTACTTCAGTCTTGGAAACTAAACAAGAAGAAAGGACCACCGGAACTGCTCCTGAGACCCTCAATGAAGACTGCAGTATCGGAATTTCCACTGTGTGACAACGGTGCTAATGCACAATCAATTCCGGCTTCATGCTCCCCTCCACAATTGGGGGATCAGAGTACCAGGGCTCCCCCCCCAAAAAAAAACCAATGTTAGCCGACCGTGGCAGGGTCGGCAATGTATCTATTTCTCACCCAAAGGGACTTCTACGCCAAAAACATTTGACCTGTTGCTACACTAATGCCCAAGGTTTCCGCAGTAAGTTCTCCGAACTGGTGTTGCGTTTCCAATCCAGTCAGTGGGATATCATTGCTGTCACAGAAACTTGGTTGACTGATGGCATTCTCGACTCTGAGTTGTGCCCACCGGGCGTGTCTCTTCTCAGACGCGATCGTCCAACACCTGGGGGTGATGTTCTAATTTACCATCGAAGCAATCTCCAGTGCGATGCAGTTGATCCTCCTGTTTCAGCCCCTGACAATTCGGTGTAAACTGAAACTGTCGAAGCACGACGATTGTCTTGTTGGCGTGGTCTATCCTTCTCCCTCATCCACGGAGCCAGAAAACGATACACTTTTGTGAGCTATGTCACAAGTCCTATCTGCCAAATTTAGTCATACTCCAATAGTGGTTGACTTCAACTGCCCGCATCTCAATCAAACTTTGACCTCCCATCCATCGTTCCAAAGGCAGTTTAAACAGTTAATCGACTCGCATCCGCTGTTCAACCACGTGAAGGAGCCCATAAGGTATGGGAACTTGGAGAAGTCGTCAATGCTGAATCTGGTATTAACCATCGAAGAGCTTATGGTCGAATCCATCGATGTCTCGCCCCCCTTAGGACGCAGTGATCATGCAGTATTGGTGTTCAAATATATCTGCTGCGCTTCGATAGAAAGAACTCCGCAAAACAATACGTCTCACCACGGACTAAACTAGATGACAGTATTTGACCCACTGCACTCAGTGGATCTTTCCTAGGGACGTACGTGATCCATTGGTCACCTGGCAAGCATTTACGGACAGACTTACAAATGTGATCGCCTCAGTCACTAAGGTTGTCAGAAAATCAAGGGTCCGAAACTCACCGATTCACAGCCGCACAAAGAAATGAATGTCTCTGCGAAATCGATCTTGGCGAGAATACAATCGATTTCCAACCTACAGCACCTGGAATAAATATCGACAGTTGTGAAGCCATTGTACCCAGTTGATGCGGGAGGATAAGCTGAAGTACCAAGAAGCGCTCTCACGGAAGTTCATTTCCAACCCGTCATTACCATACTAACATGTCAGTATTTTGAAGAAAGTAAATAATGGGATACCCGCACTCAGCTGTCTTGGGAAGGTCGCTAGTAACACCCAGAAAGCAGCTGAGATGCTGAAAAACAATATACCCAAGTCTTCGACGCACCCAACAATCCGAGACTGCGGCTGCCTCATCGGATACTCTTTCTTCTAAATCCACCACTGACGACCTTCATGTTTGATGCCGAAGAGTGAAATCAAAGCTTCTGAGTCTACGTAAGCATTCGGCTCCATGTGCAGAAAATCTACATCCCCAGTCGCTTATTGCGTTAGCAGATCACATATCTGAGCCGCCAGCTTTTCTTTTCCAAAGGATGTCTGACGCAACCGTACTGCCCCAGTCGTGGNAAGGCATAATTTCTCCAATTTACAAAGGCGGCTGTCGTAGTGATCCTGCCAACTACCACCCGGTGACACTCCTACCCGTTCTATACGAAGTCATGGAATCCCTCGTAGCGGATTTCTTGATGGAACACTTGGAGAAATATAACTTCCTTTCCCCAATTCAGCATGAATTCCGTCAAAAAAGATCATGTACTACCCTGGCCCGCGATAAATGGACAAAAGTGATGCAGTTGGTGTGGTTTACCTGGACTTCTCCAAAGCGTTCGATCGGATAAACCACGAAAAACTGACCCGTAAAGTGTACAATTTTGGTATCAGAAACCTCGCGCTTGAT